ATGGAGACTGGGGATGGTGACCAACCTCCTGTTGAACAGACACCCTTTCTGCTCTGTGTTTGCAAATCCCGCGTCGTTCTTTTGAACTAACATTATTATTTTCTTACACAGACATTAAAGCATGCTTCACTGATCTCCATATCCAAAGAGGCAGCACCAGGGGCTAGGGGGTGGGCTGGATTTTACCGAGGCCAGGCTGGCCTCAGAAGCCAGGGGATGCCAGGCGCACCAGGGGAGAAGGCACAAAGGTTGGCCTGAAGCCTGGCAAGCCCATGAAGAGCTCTCACGGTGTCCTCCTGTGTGTCACAGTGGCTTCTTGGGCTTCCTAGCCCTTCCATCTCAGAAAAAGACACCACCAGTGTGATATGGTGTATGTACTTGCCAAACTGTTTATTTGCCATTCACTAGTGATAATATTGGATTTACAGAAGAAATTGTGGTACAAAGAAAGTAAGGCTCCAGTGGTTCCTGGGCAGCAGCAGTCCAGCTGCCCTGCACAGGCTGGGCAAGGGGAAGGCTCCCGGCAGGGGCGGGGGAGCCGCTCTGACTCCGAGCAGGAGACCACACACGGCCGAGAGCCTGCTCTCCTGTGCTGTCTAGAAACACCTTGCAGAGGGGCTTCTGGGGCTGTTCTCTTATACCGTATCTGGTTTAAACCTCTAGATTGACAGTTCCCTTTCGGGAAGTATTCAATATGTCAGTACCAGGGAGAAAGAAAGCACACACAAATTTCCAGGATGCTTTGTGAACAGATCCAGTAACTGCTGCACAAATAGACACTAGGTGGGGCCTGTCCAAGGAGGACAGCAGTTCTCATTGTTACTTTTTCAATAGATGTGTTTTACTGTCATTTCAATTTGGAAGTTTATTTTTTCCATTGATTTTTATACATCCAGAATAGCACAAATAACCAACAGTTTTTTTTTTGCACATTCATTTCCCCTAGAACAAAAAGTGAACTTAAAAAAAATTGGAACCATGCTATTAGCTCTTTACAAAAGTGAATAAAAAGTAGCTCATTTTTAAGTCTAAAATAAACAAAGTAGAAAGAAGCATTTTTTTTTGTCTACAGTATTTAGCAAACATAAGAAAAAGTCCTTAGAAACACACACAAAAAATTGAAAAAAGTTATTACAGGTATTAACAATATTTTATAATGAAGCTTAAAATCTATTTACATACATAAATACAATTAACTTGTTGATGCAACTCTTCTGGAAGGAAAAAAAAATGCCAAATGATCAGCCTCATAAATACTGATCTGGCTAAAGGGAAGGAAAAAACTCCAAACAAACAAGACAAAAACCCCAAACGATTGTATACTGCAGGTAAACAAAAAGGTTTGTTCAGATGTAAAAAATGTTTTCTGTCATTATTTATAACTGATTTTTCGAGTATAAAAGACCCCAAACATGTTGCACTCCCAGAAAACAAAACCCACCAAAACCAAAAAATCACCAGGACGGAATGTCCTAAAGGAAGCAGGTCTTTCAGGACAGAAGCCTGCAATCCTAAATTGCAGGACTTTTGAGTGAAACCATTCATTTCCTTTCCAATCAGAGCATTTCTGTTTATCTGCACAGAAATGCGAGGCAGCAGAAAGGCTGTCTATTAACTCACTGATTGTAATTTGTCCAGGAAGGCTTCTGTTGCTGCACTTGGACAGCAAGCAGATCCAAAATGGTTGGCAATGTCTCTGTTCTGCTGGAAGAAACCCACGACGAGCAGGAGAAAGGCTGACTCACCCTGTTCCTTTATGTAAAGGGAGGGGAACTGTTGTTCTGGACAACAGTTGTAGCTCCTCGCTTCTGGACATTTGGTGTGAACTTAGGGGTGTGTGTGCTGTCTCCTTATATAAAGTGAGAGGATGGAGGAGTGAGAAGAGATTTGGCAGAGGGAGGGGAAGAGAAACAGAGGGAGATATTAGGGGTCCAGAGAAGGAAAGAAATATGTCATATAAGAAATATAAGTCATATAAGAAATATAGTGAGTAAACCAAAAAGAATTAAAATACATATCCATGTTAAAATTATAAATAAAGGCATGAACAAGCAGTAGAAATGGCTTATTTAATCGTTCTTCTCTTGGACCAATGCTCCCAGATACATCCAGTTACATTATTGGCTTAAGGGTCTCCTTGATTAAAGGACCACCTTAATTTACCTGAAGGCAATGAATGCAATTTTTCGGGGGGGGGGGGTGCTGGTGGTGGTGGTAAGCATTAAGTGTGACGTGAGGCCTATCTCCAAAACAGCTAACGTTTGCTTTAGTTTTTTCTGGAACTATTAAGTACTACCTATGCTGGTGAGGGTTTGTGAAACTGAATGGCCAAACCAGTAGGTCTACAACAAAGTGACACGCCCTCCTCATAGACATGCCATTCAGAGTGGAGATTCACTGTGAAGTATTATCTGATCCCCTTCTAGGGCATTAGGCTGGTTTTGAGTTGGAGTATCTTCAGGTACCAGAAATGAACTGAAAAATAGAAAATTTTTTTCCTTCATTTTTCCCCAACATTTTGTCAGGTCAGATATGGCAACATGTGCTGAAAAGAACACTTAAGTTCGATTTGGGGTCAAGGGGCTAAAGGTCCTTTTCAGAAATAAAAAAAAATTTAAATTTGCTGACATTTAAGGGTAATTTTGCTGCAAAAATGTAACACAGAATAAAGCGTCAAGTTGAATCGTGGAGAAAGAATCATGTCTAAAATGGAAATGAATATACGGAGTTTCTCCAGGATTTGTTTTAGCTCTTTTCTAGATAAGAATGACCTGACAACACAAACTGCTTTACTCTTTCTTACCAAAGTGCTACTGCATCTGTGTAAAACAATTAATCAATATATATATATATATAAGAAAACTCAAAAACAAGTTGTTTTTAAATAAGACCAGCTGTTTTGCTGCCTGCAGCCAAAGATCTTTCTAATTTGAATCCTTAAATTTATAAAATAAAAATCAAACACTGTTCTGAAGTCCTGCTTTCAAATACTCTTCAGAGTTGACCTGAAATAATTTCAACTAATTTAAGAGGTACATTAAATAACAACCAGATCATTTTGAGCACGCATATGTCAAAATCAGCAGTTAGTATTTACGAGTTGTACAACTGCATTCTGACCAAATTCTCCAATAAAAATAGTGCCATAAAATTTACAGTGACATTGGATACTTCTGAATTGTAGCCATGGGCAGCAGTGACATGAATCTTTCCTGTCATGCTGATGCACGGATAAAAGTGCACATACCCCATTAGGTAGGGTCTCAGCCCGGTGAGAGCAACGCAAAGATGGGTGGTGAACGAGCAGCATGGGATGGGGTCCGGCACAGGTGGGACAGTGCTTTCCCAGGTGACTCCATGAGGCACACAGAGGAAAACTATCCTGTTCGGGTCTGCTTCTGGGCCCACCCTACGAAAATTCAGCTGGAGACCTTCAGGCATCAAAGGCATCCAGTCTAGTTTCTTCCACTCCCAGCCTTGGGGGACAGCCACAAGTTTTGTTCTGCATCCATGAACAGGTACTGTATCAAATAGGAGTATTTTCTTGGAGCTAAAAAATCTGAACTCTGGATTCAGACGATCTCCTTACTACTCCAGGAGGGGGCAGTTAAGGAACCCATAAATCCATTCATTTGGTTTCCATGTGGATTCTGCTCTTCCACATAGCTTACTTTGGATTCATTCATAACAAAGCATGTCTGAAATTATCAAGAGCCCGTGGAGGGAGCAAACCCCTAGGCAGAAAATAAATCCTCTCCAGAGGTGCAATCATTGGCATCTTCCTGAACCTCCTTGGAACCAGACTTGACCTTCTCTGTTTAAAGGGAGGGAGTCAGATAGGAGACCCTTGGTTGAGCTTGGCAAAAAATTCCATACTTCAGATCCTTCAAGTGACCCTCAGTATCTAAAAAGCGTATTAAAAACATTGCTGCATTAGCTACCAACTCGTTTGATCAACATGAAAGGGAGTTTAATGTAAACAATATTTAGATAACCAAGTCATCACATTGCCCACCCCCTTTTTTTCCCCAGCCTTCTTCAATGTGATACATTGAACTTTGGCTACTACGAAAAAAAAAAAAAACAAAAAATGTAGTACTTGATATTTTTCTTCTTAATATAAGTACATTTAAATAATAAAAAAGTATCAACACACATAAGTAAGTGTCTAAACATCAAGATACATAAATATCTAGGGATTCCTTGTGGGAATACAGTAGTTGAAAATGACCCAAAGCTGTAGCTGTTTCTCAAAAAAAAAAAGAAAAAAGACAAAAAAAAAAAAAGAAAAACAACAAAACAACCACACGAAAGTCCAAAAGAAAAAGTTAAATAAAGCTTACAGAAAAAGGAATCATATTTCTTTCAATTGTCAAAGCAAGAAGGAAGCAAGCTCAAATATATATATATATATACACACACATATATATGTATATATGTATATATCACCCCAAATGCAAATACGCATTTTGCAATTTATAAGGTGCTGGAAAAGAAAATTAAAAAATATGAAATTAGAAACCAAACAGGAGGAGTTGCATTTCCCCGCCCCCACCCCACCCCACCCCAAATTCCACTCTTTGGAATAAACAACTTGGTTAAAAAGTGAAGTCAAGGGTATAAAATCTTTCTTTTATTCACAGCATCGCTAAATCAGAAGCATTCACAGTTTCCCTCTGGGAATCTTCCTGTTTTGCCTTAGGACGCGTCCGCGCGCTGGCGAAGCGGGCAGCCAGCCTCAGGTTGGGTCAGGTTCGGAGAAGGTGAGTCGGGGGGGGGCCCCCCCGGGGGCGCGGGGGGCGCAGGTGGGCCCCCCGGGGGCGCGGGGGGCGCAGGTGGGCCCCCCCGGGGGCGCGGGGGGCGCAGGTGGGCCGGGGGCGGGGCGAGACCCCGGAGCGCAGTCCCCGCCGGCCGAGCCCGTGGCGCCCGCCGGGGCTCCGGGGCTCCGGGGCTCCGGGGCTCCGGGGCTCCGGGGCTCCGGGGCTCCGGGGCTCCGGGGCTCCGGGGCTCCGGGGCTCCGGGGCTCCGGGGCTCCGGGGCTGGGCCCTCAGTAGGGCCGCCACACCGCCTCCTCGAGGCGCGCGGCGGGCGCCATGTTGGTGGGCGAGTTGCTGTGGCTGCCCTCGGCCTCCACCACGTCGCTCTGGTTCGGGAGGCTGGGGTTGAGCAGCGCCGAGCCCGTGGACGCGTTGGTGCAGGGCGGCAGGATGCGCGGCGGCGAGCGCTCGCCGCCCACCATGGAGAACTGGTAGGAGCCCGCCGAGGCGCCGTAGTACAGGTGGTAGGACGGCGAGCTGGCCTGGAACGGGCCGCCCTGCGCCTGCGACGAGCCGGGGTAGGGCGGCGGCAGGTACGTGTGGTAGCGCGTGGCCGAGCTCATGGCCGACATGCCGATGCCGATGCCCGACGTGACGGGCGTCGGGGAGTAGGTGAAGGCGCCGGGGTAGTGCATGCGAGGGTCTGAGATGGAGGGCAGCGCGGGGAACTGGCGCGGGTCGCCGAAGGCCGTCAGGTCGGGCGCTGCTGCAGGGGTGGGGGGTGGAGGGGGGAACAGGTGAGAAAAGAGCGTGAGGCGGGAGCGAGGGAGGCCACGCCCCTCCCGCACGTGGCCCCGCACGTGGCCCCGCCCACGGCCCCGCCCACGGGCGGGTTACCCAGAATGCCGCTGGCCCGGCCCGGCCCGGAAGGGAGGCCGCCTACCCAGCATGCTAGGGGGCACCGAGGGGCTGTGAGGGGCTGCAGTGAGGGCGCTGCGGCTGCGGGGCGCGCGGTCGTGTGAGGCGGTGTAGGCCGCAGGGCATTACAGGGTTCTAGAATGTGAAGCACTGCGCCGTGACACACAATAGATCCGTGGATACGACACGGTAAGGTCGGGGCGATGACGGGGTTGGCACACCCCGCTTCGGTCGCCGCCGAGCTGAGAATGAGTTCCTTTAATACGTGGTTGAAAAAAGTGAAAAGAAGAGTATTTCCTGACCTAGACAGACCGCGAGAGGCCGCTCTGAGTCTGGGGAACAAAGGGCTGTGGAAAGGTTGGTGGGTGAGGGGGTGAGGTAACTGGGTGACGGGCGCTGAAGGAGGGCACGTGATGGGGTGAGCCCCGGGTGTCCTCCTCCATGTTGGCAAGGTGAATTTTTTTTTTTTTTTTAAAGATTTTATTTATTCATGAGCGACACAGGCAGAGGGAGAAGCAGGCCCCATGCAGGGAGCCCGACGTGGGACTCGACCCCGGGTCTCCAGGATCACGCCCTGGGCCGAAGGCAGGCGCTAAACCGCTGAACCACCCGGGCTGCCCAAGGTAAAGTGAATTTACATAAAATGTCAAAAGTAATTTTCCTGACGTGGAAAAGGTGAGATTCTACTTATCAGTGGCTGTTGGTGAAGTTTCGTTGGAATGAGCCTCACTCGTGTGAGGTGCCAGGGTCGCTGGTCTGGAGCCACCACCGCAGTGGGGGGTGGGGGGGAGTAGTCCTGACACAGGGCGACCACAGGCCGACCCTATAGGACCCGGAAAGGCTGAGGGATTTAGTGCCTGGCCCTGCACGGGAAAGTGTTTGCCAGCCGCCTATTAATGTGCCAATATGGATAGAAATGTAAACTGTGATATTAATATAGTCATACCGTGTAAATCATAAAATTATATATTAATGTAATGGATGCATCAGTAGATTAATACTAATAGAATATATCACATGTAACATGATACTGTGTTATAGTGTTTTTTTTTTAAAGATTTTATTTACTCACGAGGGACAGAGAAAGCAAGAGAGAGAGAGAGAGAGACAGGCAGAGGGAGAAGCAGGCTTTATGCAGGGAGCCCGATGCAGGACTCGATCCCGGGACTCTGGGATCATGCCCTGGGCTGAAGGCAGGTGTTAAACCGCTGAGCCGCCCAGGGATCCCCTGTGTTATAGTGTTAATGTATAAAACACCATAGTACATTATACATAGTATTTAGGTTGAATCATAGGAAACTGCTGTTTCTGTAGGTCTCAGATAATTAAGAATTGGCAATTTCTGGGGACGCCTGGGTGGCTCGGTGGTTGAGTGTCTGCCTTTAGCTCAGGGCATGACCCCGGGGGTCCTGGGATCGAGTCCCACATTGCATTCCCCACAGGGAGCCTGCTTCTCCCTCTGCCTGTGTCTCTGCCTCTCTGTGTCTGATGTGAATAAATAAATAAAATCTTAAAAAAACGAAAAAAAAATGAGTGGGAAATATCAGAAAGGAAGACAGAACATGAAAGACTTCTAACTCTGGGAAACAAACTAGGGGTGGTGGAAGGGGAGGAGGGCCGGGGGTGGGGGTGACTGGGTGACGGGCACTGAGGGGGGCACTTGACGGGATGAGCACTGGGTGTAATTCTATATGTTGGCAAATTGAAAACCAATAAAAAATTTATAAAAAAAACAAAAAAAACCTGGCAATTTCTTATGATTCCACCTAATGCATGCTGTAGTAGTGACCATGTGAATGTCAATGACTATCAACACCACTCTTCCTCCCCCACGTGTACCTTTAGACTGCTTCCACATTTTTAGAAAAATATAGCCCCAGTTTCACCTGGTATTCTCTCACACGTGGTTCACTCATTTGTTAACACAAATGGCCTCAGGGCTTTGATTTATCTACTCCATTTTTGCACATGTTGAAGTTGCATCAGGAATGGCAGAGCTTTATCTAGAAAACTTATTTTGTTAGGATTGTGCATTTATGGTTTCCAAAACTGGCTTTGGCCTTCATTGCATCCTTCTGCATTTTTCTTAACCATAGGCTGCCCTTGGGAACCACTAGCGGGTTTGGGTACCTAGGAAGTGCTCCCTGTGTCTTGTAGATTGGTTTCTCAGCAGTGACACTATTGACATTTTGGGCCAGATAGTAATTTGTTGGAACAGTGGGAGGCTGTCCTGTGCGTTGTAGGTTGTTTGGCAACATCTTTGGCCCCTGCCCACCAAATGTCAGTAGTGCCCCCACACCCCACATTGTGACAGCTAACAATATCTCCAGACACTGCCAAATGTTCTGGGGGTAGGGAGGGGGGGGCCCAATCCCCCTGTGCCCCACTAAGAACCACCACTGTAGATGTAGAATGTTGTCCCAGGGGAGGGGGGGAGTAACTGTTCCTCAGAATTATTCATTAAATGACTGGGCCAGGACCATAGTCTTTACAACAGCAAACCCCAAAGACAGCAGAGGCAAGAATTAAATGTCTTAAAATTTGTAAGCTCTCAAATCAACATACAAAATAACTCCCAAGCTCAGGATGGCATGTGGTCTGTGTCCTTTTGTGTTCAGGCCCATAGAGAAGCTTGACAGAGCCAAGAGTTTGCTCTGAAAGGAAAGCTACCAGGGTGGATTAATCTGTTTTTGGAAGGCATCCGGGGTTGATCAACTTCCTCATATTTCAAGCCTATTATTCCAGCAGGGAGAGCTAGTGTTCTCATTCTCTTGCTGCCTGTCTCTCTCTCTCTCTCTCTCTCTCTCTCTCTCTCTCTCTCTCTCTCTCTCTCTCTCTCTCTTCCTCTCTCTTCCTCCCCCCTCGCTCTTCTTCCCTTTCCTGTCTCCAAACTCTTCTATAAATTTGGGGTGAATGTGATGAGGAGGTATATACTCCTCATCAGAGAGGTAATTAAAGTTTATAGAAACAACCAAAGTCTGCAGCCAATCTCTCTGCTAATGAGGAAACCAGGAGTCTGACTTTCAAACAAACATTCCTGTTAATCGTTTCAAAGCCAGGCAGACATGTGGGCAGGGAAAACGTTGTAAACTGACAGTGGTTCTAGGGCTGCCCTTCCACGGCCACGCTCTAGCTCGTCCTCAAGCCAGGCCGCACCTCATTCCACACGGTGTGTCCCTGCCCCCTTACTGGGGCGGTCTGTGAGCAAGCTCTTTGTCACTTGTTTTTGCTAACACAGAGAGCTGTGACAGGAAGCTTGACTCCATTTTTCCAGCTAGATTTCTATAGTCAAGGGAAAAGCCGAGGTAGGAGGACGAGCATTAGGCAAATACAATCAATTTGTTGGCATCTGATGCAATACTCTGCACACAAATTAATGACTCCGCCCATGATTCCTCTTGCTTCACTTGCCCTGAGACAAAAAGGTGAATCCACTGGAAAATGAATGAAAGGTCACCCTGTTTCATGGTGATGTCTGGACATGCTCTCCAGTCTGTTCCAGCTACTACGTGGTAATGTGGTGATGGCACCAAGTTACCGTAATCCCGAGCGAGTCCGCGGCTGGTCACGGACATAAGTAATGGAATGATGTTATGGTCTCAGCTGTCAGGGGAGAATAGTTCTTTCACTTGTGGGCAGGATATCTGAAAGATCTCCAATACTGCTCGTGATGCTCCTATCTTCGTGGTACCAGTGTCAGTCGACGCAAGACCGTCCGTTTGGTCAAAATAGTTTTCCTACACATTTTGATAATAAAAGGGCTTCAGCCCTCTAGATATGTTCCGATTCAAATGATCTATTCACATATATTTGTTTCCATTTTTATGTCCAGTCTGACATTTCCTACCAAGCCCCACTGTCATGCACCATTCACCCCACCTGCTGTCTATAGCCTATTTGTCCCTTTGGCTGGGCCCGGGGCCCCCTTACTCAATAGCGTGTGGGGATGGAGACCCCCGATGTTCACAGGGAGCTTTTAAAGGGTAGGAAATCTAGGGATTAGGAGGTTCAGGTATTTTAGTTGGAAATGTTTCCCCACTGATGGGGCTAAATATTTGCCATGACAGCTCAAGTGTTCGTTCTGCAGCTTGACATGGATGAAAGCTGTCCTACCTCAGCCCCTCCCACTGGCCCCCAAAGGATTAAACAGCCTGAGCAGATAATGGCTGCCTTAAAAGGATCTTTTGCATGACTCAGATTAATGCATGCTGTCTGTCGCCCAGGTTGGCAGCTAAACATTAATTTTTTTTAAAAGAAAAAAAATAAAGGAAAGCCTCCAGATGACATGTCTTTTCAGACAAGGTGTGGAGACTGTCTGCAAAGGAAAGAGAGAAAGAGACAGAGTGCAAGTCCCCCGTGCAGAAGGAAGTCCAGGTGGGGCTGGGGGCTGGGGTGTGGGCCAGAACACAGAGCTCTGGGGCGGGATTAAAAGGAAAAGCAGACGCAGAGCAGTGTCAGGTTCTCAAAGCTGGCAGCCCGGCAGCCACTTCTCTTTTATGTGTCGCAACCCCCTACTGCCCCCAGGCATATGACAACGCTTCTCAGGCCCGCACTCCGGGCTTGATTTCTCAGAGGGAGATCTGCCAAGTGGAAGAGCAGTCTCCCATGCCTTTCTCTGCCACTGGGGAAAGCTCATCTGGAATTCTCTCTGGCCCTCCCTCCAAGACCAGGGAGGATCATTTTTGGGTGCTGAAATGGGACGTGACTTTTGTGTACTTTACACCCTCAATGCCACAAAATGTCCTTCCTTACTCCTTGGGTAATTAAGGTCCTGGTTGTTCAGAAGTGTAACAGAACATGGGAGACTTGGGAGTGCACGTGACTGATTCCTTAAAAAAAAAAAAAAAGAGTTGCCCTCACATCTGAACACTGGTCAGTTGGAGCAGCTGCCCCCCTAGAGCTCTGGAAAGTATAAGGTGCGTATCTTGGGTGCTGACCAAATTAAAAGTCTTACGTAATAAATTCCAAAGGACCCACAGTAGGCACATAACCAAGGAAAGCAGTAATTGTTTTAGAGGCAGTGAGCAAAGCAGTGCCACGGAGAAGAATCAATAAAAGTTGACAAGTGCCTTTGGAATCAATTTGGTCTGAGGAAACAGAATTTCTGAAACAACACACTGGACAGACGTCATAATCCTTATGCAACTTCCTCAACTCTGCAGCCCAGCAGGTGCCCTGGAAATGTTGGCATTAATACAAAAAGTGGGCAACTCAGTTGTCTTTCCCATTTTACTGTACGGTACCTAAGAATACTCAAAGGTGGTGGTTCTCGACTGGGGGCAGGTTTGGCCCTCTGGATATTTGGCAATGTCTGGAGACATTTTTTGGTTGTCTTGATGTGGAGGAGGGGGCCTCTTGCCACATCTAGAGGCCAGAGATGCTGCTGAATACCCCACAGTGCACAGGACAGCCCCCCAAAACAAAGAATTCTCTGGCCCCAGATGCCAGTGGTGCTGCTGGTGAGAAGCTCCGGGAAGAGGCCAAAGCATTGAGTGAAATCTCAAGTAATCACAACTATTTGGAAAACACCACATTATACAACATTTAGAATGGCAGACTTGACACCTCTGCCCTTTTGCCTGCCCCCTAATCTACTATAATCTGATCTCAAGAGCTGAAAAGCAAAAACAACCACCCTCCTCCCCACACATAACGAGTGTGTGTCTGCAGGCTTCATAATGCTGCAGTTCTCTGAAGTATTTTCACAATTTGGTCCAGCTCCAATTTCAAAGCTCCAAACAGGGAGTTTCTCCTTTTGCTTTCAACAAAGAAAATTTTCTCTAACTCCAATTCCCTGCCCACGAACATAGGTGAGTGCCAAGCCCAAAGGTCTCATAGGTTAAATGACTAATATTTAATGAGCTCGTATTAACAACAATTATGCTAACCACGACACCCGAGCTTTCCATTCTGTTCCTCTAATCTGGTATGAACAGCTCTTAGTTCGAAAAATGTCTCTTTTTGGGGTGTAGCCGCTTCCCATTCCATAGGTACGCCAGGGTTTTGTTCACATGACCTGTGAACACTCGCCACCATCAGATGGGACAGCCCCATCTGAGTTAGAAGCTGATTACTTTGGCCTACTGCGTTATAAACACTCCAGCTGTTGCCTTTGTCTGCCACATGTGAGCAGCCCCCAGATGCCCAAAGAATCCACGTCTGTCTTCACATTCATAATCCCTGTCTCTAGGTGTCAGGAAAAATCAGTGAATGGGCACGGGCCTTAGACAGCCTTGTCTTTAAACCGGTTTTTACCCCCCAAAATGACCAACCCTTTTACGCATCTCCAGTCTCTCGAACCTTCCACTCTAGCTTGACTTCAAAGGGTGGGTTCAAGCAGCTTACTTGTGAGTCGACTGGAAAGCTCTGCAGAGAGGGTTGTCATGCCGCTGGCCCGTCCAGGTGAGATGGGTGTTGCTGGGTGTACGGAAGGGGAGGCGATTGATCCCAGGTACTGGTAGGATTGATCATAGGACCATGGTGGGGATGGCTGGATCTGCCTTGTGTCTGCAGAGAATCAGACAGGTCAGTCATATGTAGAGTGGGGTGGGATTTAAGAAAAAAAAAAAAAAAGTCTTTTAATTAAAAGCTGATCCTCTTTGTTTAAATATATTATACGTGCCTGTGGCCTGTTGACCAGTGTTTAGTAAGTCCAAGTATTTGCTTTTGTTTGATGATTTCCATCCCCTTCTCCACAGAGATACTGAAATATAGTCTATGTGGGATTCTTGAATATTTTCCTCTCATAACTGTTCCTTCCAAAGATCTGATTTAATCATGCTAATAGTGATGGGGTGAAGTTGAATATGCTCTCCAGGTAGAAGTGTTAACGTTACCTATTGAACTATAGCACGTATCAACTACCCAGACAGTTTCAGCTTTACCAAGAGACAATTCTCATCCTCAGAAACATTTTATAAACTCAGGTGGATCATCTATCCATCTGTACTCAGTAAGCAAGAAAGAACACAGAGTTTTGGTTTTGTTTGTTTGTTTGTTTTGGTACCTTTGGCAAAAATACCCCAAGGGCTTTTAAATATCATCTATTTAGGTGAATCCCCTCCCAAGGAATTTAGAAAAGAAGATCCGACTAAGAGGCTGGTGATGAGGTCTGAGGACTAGTTCACAAGCACAGCAGTAGAGAGCTGGCTCTACCAACCCAGACCGACAGGTGTCCCGCACCTTTTCAAGACCTCACGTCTGCAACGTTTAAAGGGCAGAATGTTGAGCAAGTATTTTATAGATGGCCATTAAATGAGGACTGGGAGAGAGAAGAGACAAAACTCTGACTTCAGAAGATTTAGGTAAAAAGGATTTTGTGAATTTGACTCCAGCATTCATAGGAGTCTTTGTTTTCAAAAGCATCACACTGCAGATGAAAAGGAGAAGAAGAAACCAAACAAACCCTCTGATCCTAGGCAATATGTGTAAGAAAAGTTAAATGGAACACAGTCTCACCACAAGATAGCCTTCCATTTCTTTAGGGCTAAACACTGATTTTTCTCTTTGGGTCCCACCTTCTCTGTGGACTACTAAGGTGACAGCGAACTACGCTGGCTCCCAGAGTTCTTCACAGCCAGGGCTGCATGGAGCTGGGGGTGAATCTAGAAAGAGCAATGTTCCTCAGGAAAATACAGGATGCAGGCTGTGTATGTGCCAGGACATAAAGAAGTGAATTATTCTTGTTATAAAATATTCAGTTCTAGTTCCTCCAGGGGCTTTTCATTTCCAGCAGTTCAGGTTTGCTGTTTCTATCTGTTTGAAGCCGTCAGAGTGAATGGATAACCGAATTGGGTTTGATGATCCAGGTCTTCCTTCCCTCTTTTTCTGCCTGCCCCTCCCCACTTTCCCTCATATGGATCGATTTCTTTCTTTTCTCTTCTTTAAAATAACTCAGTTTTTAAGTTGGAAAAATCTGGACAAATATTTTAACTTAGAATCTCTGAAATCTAATATTAAAGAAAGGTCCTTGTTCCATTCTATATTTTGGAGAATTTGAACAGAAGGCAAAGCATAAGAGAGCTGGTCTATTCTAAACTCAGTGGAAATGAATGATCAACTGCAGTCAAAGATCCTGCGCAGCCTCACCAGTGATAATGTTTCCAATAATCGAAAGCTAGGAGCAATAGCTGATTGTTCAATATTCCCATATTACTACAAGTATTTTGCTCCAAGTGAAAAATAAACTACAGCTCAGATATTTTTGTAAGACATGCATATATCCTAGATAACACATTTGCTAGGTGAATATATAGTAGTCAAATATTTTAATCATTTAAGAAGCAAACAAAAGAGGTTTTATAATTGTCATAAAGCTCTCTGGGGTGTGAATTGCGGTTCAGTAATTCATGGCTCACTGTGTAGACAGCCCAGCACCCCTAACCCTGTGTCTAAAACCACAGTAAGCATAAAGTATTATGCCATGATTCATGCTCTGTCATGTTTTACTGTAGTGAAAAAGTTGTGCTAGGCTTTTCTAAACTCATAATTAAACCATGCAAACGTTGCATAATGTTTCACAGCCTTTTAAAAATATGCTTTGGTAAAATGATCTTTATGATTAAAGTCCAAGTTCTGTGATTGTTTTTTTTTTTTAACACAGGGTTTTATATTCAACATTCTTGCTTCACATCACAACTTAGCTTTCCAGTGTTAGGGGAGGGATAGCACTAAAAACCCCAAAGACCCCTGTGTGATCAGTTTTCATTCATGTGACCGTAGTTGAGCTGCCTTTGGATTCATTGCCAGTGGTGGGCCAGAAGGTGGTGATGGCGAGCTTCTCATGTCTGGTTTTTGGGTGTTTTCTAATTCTGCATGTATTATTGATAAAAAAAACCAAAGCACAAAATAAAACAAAAAACTGGGGCCAATGATATGGTGTATGCTGAGTTTACTGTTCAGTTACCATTCTTGCTCTGATGGGGCCAACGCGAACACATGAAGGCAGCTATGGAAATGGCAGTGCTGTGGGCCACCCCAAGCGCTGGACTGAGAGGCAGAAGTGGCCTCTATGCTTGTCTTTGCGGTGAGCCTGGACCACTTGTTTATACATCCTCATTCTCATCTCTGAAAAGACATGATCTCCAAGCCCCTTCCAACAGTAACAGTGCAGGATTCTAATTCGAATCGGTTCTATACAGTGTTTCTTGGCTTAACTTGTATGCTAATCAGATTTAAGAAAGCCTCAGTTGGAAGTATGGGGTGAAGAATGGTCCTTGTAACAATAAGTATACCGATTTCTGGGAAGAAGAAGTAGGTAAGGATAAGACGGGAGTTATCCAGAAAAGAAGCCATAGGCTGAGAATGAGAAGAGAACCACTGTCTGTCATTCTCCAGAGAGGAGGGCTACTTGTTCTTGATGGAAGTGCCTCTGGTAAGTCAGTCCATCAAACAGAACAAAAGTTTATTGAAATTTTAGTATGTGCCAACTTAGCTAGGAATAGCCTTATGAATAAGACCAATGTAGTCCCTGCCCCATTGGAGCTTCTAGTCTGATATCAGTGAAGATCCTGGGAGTAGATGATGCTTGGAAAAGTTTCTTCCTATTGCACTGATCATCATGCTGAGGGTTCCTACATTTATTCATTTATTCACATTAATAACTTCATCCATTCATTCATAGGCTCACGAAGTTATTCACATCCTCCTTCATTCCTGTTGCCAAATAGCATTTTTGCTTTACTAGGGTCACTGTTTTGGGGACTCAGTAGTGAATGGATTATAGTCTTTGCCTTTAGGGTACAGCGAGTGGGGGACCCGTATTCAGGTGAACTGATGGATTATCTGCCTAACCTGGACTTGCAGACAGTTGTTCCCACATTAGAGATAATCCTAATGGCATTTATTATACTTCTGTTCTGCCTCTGCAAGGAGCAAACTTAGGGAAAGCACTTCATTCTGAACTCTTCCTTTACCCTGAGTAAGTCACTTATTTTCTCTGATTCATAGTTTTCCTACTTCAAATGGTAGTAGTGAAGAGTAAGTGAGATAAGCTATACGTAAAGCAAGTAATACAGTTTTTGCCCATAATAAATGCTCAATAAGTCTGACTAATTTTTATGATTATATTATTAAGAAGAAAAATAAATCCATGCCAAGGGATTTATCTGATATTTATTGGTAAGGCCACACACACCTGCTCCAGGGTGAGGCTCAGGTAATACCACGCTGTTCACTGATAAAGGGTTTGACGGCTGTTCTTCAGCATTGGAGGGGAACTGGGCTCAGGAGATTAAGTGGTAAAGGGCAAGAAAACTGGAGATTCCAGGTAAGGATAGAGGAGGCAAGGATCCAGTCTCAACCAGTTCACATTTCTATTAAGAAAAGGACTGGATCAGAAAATTTAAATTTGAGCCTTTCTGTGTCCTGTTTTTTTTTCAGGGTACATAATGTTTTTTTTTTGTTTGTTTGTTTTGTTTTTGTTTTTTTGCGTGTGGGTTTTTTTTTTTTTGTGTGGGTTTTTTTAAAGATTTTATTTATTCATGAGAGAGACAGAGAGAGGCAGACACAGGCAGAGGGAGAAGCAGGCTCCATGTAGGGAGCCTGATGTGGGACTCGATCCTGGGTCTCCAGGATCACGCCCTGAGCTGAAGGCAGGCGCTAAACCGTTGAGCCACCCAGGGATCCCCATAATGTTTTGATGCAGCCACTTTACTGAAGTCATTTTGTGATGGATTATTTTCAGCATTCTGATCATCCAAAAAATAGGTAAAACAGAGATCCCTCTCCCTTCCATTTGAAACAAGGTCCGAGAAGGGGGAAGTTGGGGATAAGGTGGAGCGGAGGCTAGTGGTGAACTTAGAGGGATCCATGGCATACATCACTAAAAGAGAAAGTAGAATGCCTTCACTTTTTGATGCAGCATTATCAAAAAGTCTCCAGAGTGAAAAATGGCCCTGCCATTTGCAGCTCTGAAATGCAAAAAGCTTGGGGGTCACCACTCTCATCTTTACAAGAAAAAAGCTGAGCAAACTGATAATCCATGACTCTTCTTAGATCTATTAGAGAATTGAGACTGTAGGCAAACTGCCATCCTGAAGTCTTGAGAGGCAGGTAAATACAGAAAATCACATGGAGGTCTATGTACCAGGAGCAGAAGCTGCTGGAGCCATAAACTGGTCAGAACACTTAACCAGTAATTTTGATAAACTGTTGGAGACTGAGTTTAGACTACTGTGAGAATAAGAAACGTCTAGGGGGCCGCAGTCTTGTGGGTGTGTACAGGGATTGGGGTGGGGACATTTTCATGAGATTGGCATCAGGAACTCCTCCAAGTTTTCATGGGATCCAGTATAATAATAGTGGGTTATGGCTGAAAGAGACTATTTAGGGAAGAGTTCTTAGGGAAGTCCAAAGACAACAAGAGAGACAAAAACAAGGGCATTAGAGGAATTTGAAGCCTCTGGTGTCTACAGCTATAGTAAACATGAAACACAGCCCAACTCCTAGCTAGATGAACATAAAATATCACACTGAAGGCCTATTTCTTTTCATTCCCATCATCTGAT